CCTGGGCAGTTGGTGCATGTGTTAGCTGTGAGAACAAAGTCCCTTTCTGCTTCCTGGTCGTCTTGCCCACCTTGCTCCTCTGCTGGTTACCTGTACATGGGGAGCAGCTTCCGGTTTTATTTCTGGAGCCGCCACTGGCAGGACAGCCACTGGAGCAGCCCACAGTCCTGTAGGGAGTGGCAGGCATGCCGGGTGTGCTCTCCTGCGAGAATGGAGACCCTTAGTGCCTTGTCTTGGGTAGCTGTGCGCAGACGGGGCCTCTGAGTCTGGCCTGGGCAGCTGCAGAGGCTCTGGGCATCTGCTGTGGGTGTGGCTCCTCTGAGGCTGCTCCCCTGCTATGGCGGGGCAGTGCCAGAGGGGGAATGGATGGGAGGCTGTTGATCATCGTGAGGGGCCTCAGAGCTGCACTACCGCCCAGAGGGTTAGGGTGCCTGGAGTTCCCTGGGATTCCCAGCTGCTGGGCTGAGTGTCCCAGGATGCTGTCATCCAGCTGTGAGGCCCCTGTCCCTTTAAGACTTTCAAAAAGCACTCGCTTTTCTTTTGTCCTGGGGGCGCTGGCTGCGGGAACCTGCTTGCAGATTTTACTGTCCCGTTTCCCTAATATCCAGCACACCACACACTGTGTGTCTGCGCTCCCAGTGTAGATGGCTAGGGCTGGGTATTTAGCAGTCCTGGGCTCGCACTCCCTCCCCGGTCCAACTCCCTTCCTCCCGCTGGGAGCTGGGGTGGGGGGTGCTCGGATCCTGCTGGGCTGCGGCTTGTTTCTTACCCCTTCATGAGGTGCTGAGTTCTTGCAGATGTAGATGTAGCCTGGCTATTGTACTGTATCTTCTGGTCTCTCTTTTAGGAATAGTTGTATTTGTTGTATTTCCAAAAATATATATGGTTTTGGGAGGAGATTTCCGCTGCCCTACTCACGCTGCCATCTTGGCACCTCCCTGATAATATCTATTTACATGTTTTTTAAAACAAACATATACTCAAATAAGAGAACCAAAAATTATGAAAAACCACTCTATATGTTATACCCCAAACTAATAACCATAATTTATTAATTAAAAATTTAAGTGACCTCTTCAGAGATTTAAATGTGTTTCTTTAAATGAAACCATAAATAGAGAAAAACAAGTAGTGGTCAGTTGGCTAGCTCCCTCACTAGCAAAATGGTTCATTCCATATTAACATAATTAGTATTCAACAACCAAAAAAACATTTTCAAGTCTCTAACTGATCAGCATTATAAATGTTATATTATAACCTCAAGGTCTATATATAGACCTTAAGGGTCTGTTGCATTACATTTAATTTTCAGGAAACAAATTCAAGGTAAAAATAAGTATAGAGAGTTTTAGATGCATCATTACCGAAGTCTGTACAGTTAATCCATGGCATTACAAACTAAGCCATTTAAAAATCAAGTAACTTCTAATTTAAATGCTTTTATGGCACAGAATGATGAAAGAAAACTGGCTATGTGACATAACTTACAAAGCTTTTCAATACCCAACAGATTGACATGGTTAATTTGTGTTAGGTTAGGAGTTAACCAATGTGCCCTAAAAATTTTATTAAAAAAAGAAAAAACCACAACAAAACTCTCTACAAATAGTTGCAACTTAATAACAGAATTTAAAGAGTGCTAAAAGAAAAACCACTAGACTGAGATTCTACAGACTTGGCTATGTAAGTGTTATCTTAGGCAAGTCCCAATTTTTCTAAGTATCCAGTTTAATATCTATAAAAAGGGATTTTAACACCTATTTTACAGGATTATTGATAAGATTTAATTAAATTAGAGCATTTAATTCAAGTGATTTGCAAAATGCAAAAACATCAGCAAGATAATTACAACAATGTCCCCTTATCTAAAACAAGCAGGTTTCATCAAATCATTTCCAAATTCCCTTATAGCTCTAATATTACATTTATAAACAACAGAATAATGCTCCTACAGTAATGAAGATACAGAACACACTAAGAGTTTTTCTAGTATTCATCCAAGCTCAACAACTCTGAGTTATGAGTTGTGAGTTATATGTGATAAACTAAAACCTAAGATTAGGATGGATAGTCAGGATATTTTTGTACTAGTTTTTGAAAATTAATTTTTGTGATAAAATTATTATCACTGTTAAATATCACCAACAATAAAAACAACCCTTCAAACAGTATCAAAGGTATAAAGCAAAAAGTACATCTCTCTCCTTATGCTTGTCCCCAAAGAATTTCTATTTCCCAGAGGTAACCACTGTTTAAACTTTACTAAGATATTTATCCAGACATCTTCAGTATAGCAGTTATTAACCTTAGCAAAGACTGCAGAATTTCAGAGATAGAAAAGATTTGCCCAGTACACTTTTAAATTCATAAATGAGTAACATGAGACACAGATGTGGCTTAGTTGCTATTAATATATGGAAAGCACTTTATAATAGATAAAAAGCTTTAACATAAATCATCTGTTTTAAAATTATTTAAGTAACTTGCCTCAAGGTTATTTATACAACTTAATGACTTAGATGGAACTAGAGTTAGGAAGTTGATATCTTATTAAGTGGGATAATATATAGATTGTATGCATACTATAATATTTATGCATGTGGCTCTTAAATTTTCAAAGATAACCTACATCACATAAAGGATTAGGAAGTGTGGCAACTCCTGATCTAGTAATTATTATGTATGTGTCATTAAAATAATTGTTTTAAAAGGAGAATCTTAGTAATGAAGGAGTGGTTTTTAAAGTTTGATGTGTTTTGAAGATTCATGCTTTTCAAGATGATCAGTTAGAGAATCTAATTTTAAACTACAATTGATACACAATGATTACTAAATATACTTTAAATTTAAAAAACAATCACAATAACTTCAAGTGAGAATAACTTGAAAGAATTAAGAAGAATTTCATATTTTATATAAATGCATACAGAACTATAAACAGAAAGCAACTTAATAGTAGAGTCAATGAAAAGATGCTACAGCATTCTTTCTTGCCTAAAGAAAACCAGTGTTGGCCACAAAATCTGCTTCGCCACTGTGGCAGTGACAACTATGAAATCTGTGTTATGATTAATAACAAAAATGAAGCTATCTTTTATTATAGAATTGTCAGATTACAATTAAATTGAAAGTCAAGGAAGCTCAAAATAATTTTGCTGTAACAGCATTAAAAAAAACCAGAAAAATAAACAAACAAGTGGGTTCAAGAATAGAGATTCTCACTTCAATTATGCAATATCTGGAGTAAAGGACAAAATTTACATTAAGTTCAATGGAGTTGAATTAAGCATTACTTATGCTAAATTTTTAGGCAAGTTTATATTCCAAATTTACTAAAATGCAATTATCAACATTCAGCAAAAATATAAAATAATTCAGATATTAAAATGATCTCAGTGGAAAAAATGGAATATAAAAATCACCCAGATGAAAAAATCAGAAAAAAATCTGTGTGTAATATATAAACTCTAGTTAACAAATTTTAACTTAAATTCAATCTTTCAATTTTACATATTAAAGAACATTTCAAAAAACATGAAAATGTAATGCAGTTGTAGAGTGGCTTTTTCTAATAAAGAAAGTTTAAATTTGGGTTGTGCTTTTCACTACTGAAATTGTTAAAAGAAACTAGGAAGCTAACTAATATATTAGCATCCTTATAACTGAAAATAAACAAAAAACCCAATTATTTTCTAAAGGCAGAGAAATCCTCAAGTTATTAATCAGAAAGGGCAAAAAAGGAAAAAAAAATTCTTTTTCTGAGAAAAGAATGTTCCATCAAGCTGGTGGTTCTATATAGAAATGCATTATTAACCTTCTTTACTGTTGAACACCTTCTGTTTTGTCAAGATGACGATATGTAAACATCATAATACTTTTACTTGGTTCTTTATCAAGTGTTTGTTTATTACATGTTCAAGTATTTCTCATTCCATGAAACAATTAAAACATATTTATATATATGTGGCTGATTCCAATGTATAAAATAATTTTGATCTGATTCTCTTCATGGTCCTATTTAATGGCTCCCCGTTTTCTTTTTAGGTGAATGATTTTTCACCATGAGATCATTTTTCTTAAAAAATTTAATTTGTGGAAAAGTTCCTTCAAAAAGGATTCACATTTGATTCTGTTAGGTGTGGGGATACCAGCACTACAGAACATTATAAATCAAAAGCTTAATTTAATGTTTTAAATGGACTACTGAAGTAGTATGAATTTAGGGTGGAAACCCATGTAAAAACTAGCTCATGGTTACAAGCTTTCATAAGAGACCTATTTTTTCTTCTTTGATCAATCACAAATTTTAAGACAAGCTTTTTTCCTTATATTCCCTCATGAATAAAGATGGTGTGGGTTATTTCTTGTGCTAGGAATAGCTCTTAGGATCTCAACTTCACCATGGAGCTGTGCTGCCTATTAGATATCCACCTTGGAAGGGCCTTGGGATTTGTCTAGATTAGAAAATATCCTCAAGGTTACGTGGGCTTCAGTGCTCTGCTCAACTCTCCTGCATCCTTGTTTCACTTAATTTCTCTGGTATGTATTTTCCTTTTTGTTTTGCATGGTCATGGATAGATTAAAATTTTAAAAAAAACCTCTATCCAACAATTTAAATTGTTTTTAATAAGAATGATGTTTAGTTTTGGCCCCAAGGTGTTATGTCAGAATCACAAGTTACATGTATTACCTTTCAATATTATTCTCTTTTTATAGCATGGCACCTATCAGAGCACTTATGATTTCTACTACAGCTATTTCTTATAAGAATTCTAACTTTGTGTGTATATACAATTCTGTGTCTGTTGCTTGAAGAACTAGTTATCTTCCAAAGAGGTAAAATGTACTTAATCATAGGATAAAGTAAGAATTGATAACAATATTATATATTTTATTGAAAGTTATAATTATAATGTGTGATAATAATAAGCTATTAATGAGTTAAGCAAGATTACTTTATTTTGGTAATAACCCTCCTGCCTTCAGGAACTTCTACTTACTTTGGAAGGAGAACCATCAGTAATTTTCACCAACTGCCAAAGAATCGAATAATGGGAGCACTGCAGGGCCTGTACGACTATCTGTATCAAATAGAAAAATTCAGTAAGACATAATTTATGGTTTGCATAGTATCAAGAGAACAACAATATTTATCAGTTTTAATCTTATTTTTGTAGAATTAATGAGAATGTATAAAATTATATTTGGTTAAAAAAATAAGACAAACCAGCATATTAACCTAGAGAATAAAGATATAACATATCTTGATAAATATGGACCCAAGTAACACTACGCTTTCAACAAAAATGGTCATGAATACTTTTAGCCATATTTTTGAAGGGAGACTGAAATTATATCCAAATTTTGTAACTAATATCTGAAACTGAAATTCATCCAAGTTTTGCTAAATGATTAGTTTTAAAGCATTCTTAACATAAAATATAACTCACATAAAATGTGCATAAGACATATAAAACAATGAATATAAAGAAAAATACTACGTAACCACCACCCAGGTCAGGAAGTAGAACATAGCCAGTACAATTTTCTGCCAATATAATCTCTCCTCCCCAATAAGGGTAACAGTTATTTTTATCAGGCAGTCAGTACATTTTAGCTACCTCAGAGTGCATTTCTAAATACTGAGGACCTCAGAGGGCTTTTGTTTGTGTGTTATTTCTATCTGTATTACCATATTAGAAACTATAACTTATTCAAAAACAAAAACAAACTGATTATATCATAACATAAATACTCCCAAAAAAGAACGAAATTTTCTAAAATGAAAAAAATTTGGTGGGAAGATGGCACTGTTCTACATTTTTGCAAATCTCTAACATTTGGCTTAACAGAAAACCAAAGTTTTGTATCTGCTTTTGCATTCTGTTACATATGCTGTTTTGATTGAAATATATTAAGAAAATCCAGTGTTACAGATTAGCTGGAAAAATAAGGTATATTTTAATAGTCTTTGTAGATAAATCTGGATATTCTTTGATATGACACCAATACTTCCATGTACATTTTTGAGAGAATGAGAACGAAAAAAGCAAACATCTTCCTGTTATTATGAAAATAGTTTGACTTCATGGTCCTGCTCTGGAAACCCCAGGGGTTCCTGGACCATCCCTTGGGAACCACTGCTCTAGGAACAGGATTGCTGAGTAATCAAGTATATATATGTCTAACTTTATAGTAGTTCGTACCAAACTGTTGCCCAAAGTATTCAATGAGCTTTGATACTTCCTGTGTCTCCATGTTTTTACCAACATTGGATAACATCATGTTTTAAATTCTGTGATTTTATTATGTATGAATAGTATCTTAATGTGGTGTTAACTTACACTTCTTTAATTACCAATGGAGATGGGAACCTTTTCATTTTTTACTGGCACTGAATTCACGGTTTATGAAAAGTCTGCCCAGTTTTTCAGACAGACAAATAATAGAATTCAGGAAAGTAAAGCTGATTAAGAATCATAACACAAAATAGAATTTCATTTTGGATAGGTATTTTTCTACCTTTTTTTTGAATACATTTAATGTAATAAAGCTTACCTGATAATATGATATTCTACTATTATAGTGTCTCTAAATCTTCCTCACTTGATAAACTAAAAACTGTAAGGATGAATATATATAAAGAATAAATGCAAAGAGAAACAAGTACATGGAATTCTGGAGGAAGTAGTTAGAATTTTAGCTGGTTTTACTTTAAAAATTTCAGGTTTCAGACCATGAAAGCAAAAGATATCTATAACATGCTTACTCAGCACTGAAAATAGCTCAACGATATTAGAGGAATGAGTGGTGCTGCTTTTGATGCAACACTTATGAGATGATGTCAGGGTTTTATTAAACATAATAATTAAATGACTGATTCATGGCATACTGCCAGAAACAAGACTACTGAAACATTATCAAATTATGAACATTACTACTAAAGAAATCACCTTACACGACTTAGAAAATGCTCAATATGGTACACCTATTGGTATGGGATACCTTTTGCTACCTTCTATTTTAAAATATAAAGTACATTAGTAAAGTGGTTTGTGTGGAAGGAAAAGAGATTTGAATTTCTCTTCAATCTGAAACCATCTGAACTGTTAAATTACTGGAAGTGATATATAAATTAACAAATTAATGGGAAATTAGGATATGGAAAAAAGTAATGTCCAAGAATTGCTTAACTTTGGTTATATCATTTATCCTAATCATCACAAATATCATTTCTGTTTTTTCTACATTTCTATTGACCTATATACTAGGAATTATTCTGTGTTACAGAGTTCTGCAGAAGTTTCTTGGAGGTGGTTATAAGAAAAGAGAGGTATTTGGTCACTCCAAAACCTATTTCAAATAGAGCATCTTTATTTTAATCTGTTTCATATATTGGTATTCATCTTGTTTATTTTAGAAGGGCTCCACTGCTTTATTTTAAAATAAAAAGCTCACTTTCACTAACTGGGCAGCATTTTGCTCTCTCACCGGTATGGTTATATAATACAGCTGATCACCTTTCAAAGAAAATTCAGAACTCTTCTTTCCAGGTTATTCCAACAGTTATATTGGTATTTTATCCTACATACTAGCAATGTTGTCCTAACTTGTCCAGAAGTCATTTACTCAGCAACTTCATTTTTCTGTAGTACAGATCAAACAACAAGGACAAGGGATTGTTGTAACCTGTGAGGAACATCATTCTATGTTTTTCTTGACTAACACTGCTCTATCCTGGAGAGGATCTTCAAATAATAGCAAGTGTGGGTCTGATGACTAAGAATTTCTTCCAACCCTACTCTTCTGTGCTCATGTTTATAAGAGGTAACATTCCTGGGAGGACACAGTAATGTGTTTTGCACATTTCTGGGCAAAAGTAATTAAGAAACAGGCAAGCCTTTTCTATCTTCTCCTCCCCTATCAGCTAGCTGGATACCAATGCCCCAGGGGTTCTTGGGTCCCTGAATGACTGTGTGGTGGTGCAGGGACACGACATTTCCCTAATTGCACTTCATGTTCTGGGGCTGAGAAATAAATTTCTAATGTGTTAAGCCACTGAGATATGGAGGTTAATCTATTATAGTAGTTAGCATTACCTTAACTAACATAATTTTTTATTAGGTCATTTACTTAATAATCAGTTCTTGTCTATTTAAAGGAACTACAGCTCCTTATCTTTGATTAGCAGATTGAATCAGTGAGAATCATGCAACCTCCAGTTAATGATATCACTATCTTGAAGATGAACTGTATTACTAAATATAAATTAAGACTAAAGGCTAACCTAGAACATTTAAGTTTAGAAAAACTGAACTTGCATGGAAAATAAAATCTGACTAGAGAATAAGTAAAAAAATCATTATGCATAATATATACACACAGATACATATTACCTACACATATGGGACATATTTAAAATGATCCTATCATAACTGTGGGTAAATTTGAACTTTCACTTTTCTGTTTGCACGAGACTTGAAGGGGAAGTAGGATCAAATTTTTTAGCGGGTATCTCCTTTTGAAAAGAGTGTTTAGATGCAAATTAATAATCAACATGGCTTCACCAAAAAAGGATATAAGGCTGGCAAATAAGCACATGAAAATATGTTTAACATTATTAACATTACGGAAATGTACATTAAAAGCACAAGGCACCACATACATACCTACTAGGATGACTAAAGTAAAAAATACTGACAAACACCAGTTGCTGGCAAGGATGCAGAACAACTGGAATTCTCATACATTGATAGCAGAAATGCAGAATGGTACAGCCACTCTGGAAAATGGTTTGGCAGTTTCTAATAAAGGTAAACACACACTTAAAATAAGATGCAGAGATTGCACTCTTGGGCATTTACTTAAGAGAAATGAAAACTTATGTTCAAAGAAAGAACTATACACTTATATTCACAGCAGCATTTAGCTGTTGTGATAGTCAAAAGCTGGAAACAACCCAAACATCTTGCAACATGTGAATGGATGAAACAAACTGTAGTGTATGTACACAATACACTACAACTGTGCAGTAAAAATGAACCACCTATTGATTGACACAACTTAGATTCATCTCAAAGGCACTGTGCTCAGCCAAAGATTTTATGCTCTAGAAGGTTACAGTATGATTTCATTTATTTGGAAATCTCAAAAAAAACAAAACTGTAGTGATGGAAAATATCAGTGGTTTCTAGGAGTCCACAGGTAGAGCAAGCATATAACTATAATGGGATAAGTTTTTGGAATGGTGAAAACTGTTCTGTAACCTGACTGGGTGGTGAACACATAAATCTATGCACACTTTAAAATTGATAACATCACATAAAAAGGAAAGTTAATATTACTGTAGTAATTTAAAATATGACAATATGGCAGAATGGAGTTTGCAGTAATATATTTTTCTTGAGGAAATGCTAAGAAAAGCACAAATATCAAAGGAAATCACAGTGATAAAAAGTAACAAATATTTCTTTAATAAAAGAAGATTCCTGTTTTACATGTGCTTTGGGAATGAGGGATCATCCAAAGTGCTGTATTACCAGAAGACATGCTATACTATAGGTTAAAAAAAATCTTGAGATGGATGAAACTCAGATTCAAAAAAATTCAAACAGTAAAAGGTTAATTTCTGTAACTAAAAAAAAAAAAAAAAATTGCCTAGGAATCGATTTCATAGCAGTCTAATGTATATTAATGCTTGGCAGTTCTGGACCCTGGGATATTACTGTCAAACTTTCTTCTAATTCCAAGTAGTATATGAAACAAAAGCAAGAGTATGAAGAAAAATATATGTCAATAATGAGTCCAGTATGGAATATTATATTCTCCTTTAGTAGTAATCTCTTTTTACTGATTTCCAAAAGGGGATTTGGTATATGGTGGAAAGCACATTGGACGAGGGGTTTACATCACACAATCTCAGGCCTACAACAGTCCATGTGCAGTAGACTTTTCTCATTTATACTCCTTTATTTATTACAGCATTATTTAATAGTCAAGATGTGGAAGCAATCAAATCCCCTACAACTTCCCCTATGGCAACTACCAGTCTGTTCCGTGTTTATTAGCCTTTTACTGTTTA